GCCTTAACAACTTCATATATTAAAAGAATATTTCTTTTAAGTCATTCCTCTCTTGCATACTCTTTGGCAATTATTTAATAAGTGATGTGTTTCGATCTTTTGACGAAAAAGAAAAAAATAAATTTGAACCACAAAATTTCCATCAAAGACAAATTTTAAGTCAATTTTAGTTATGGGCTTAATTCTTGGTCGGTCTTAGGAAGAAAAAGCAATGTTTATGGCTAACTTTTATTTGTTTAAAACAATTTAAAGAGTTATTAATATTCATGGAATCCATTCAACGAGCTCATACTATAAGAAGGATTAGTTTTTATTTTGAGGTACAATTCACCACCTTGACGGATGCTCGCATGCAAATGATAACGACAGATACATAAAAAAGTGAGAGAAAATTTACTTCTCTTTGCTCTTTTTCCACGAATTTCTTTTTATTCGATCATTGTCATACATTTCAATATAGTTAAAAATTGCTTTTCTTTTCATGCACATTTATGTTTGTATGTCTCAAGTATCCATCATTCAAGAAAAAAGTTACCATTCAGCGAAAGACAAACAACATTTCATTGAAAATATTTTACTTTCTTAGAAGTAAAAAAAGATGAAATTTGAATCATTCGTAAATGAAATATTATTTGACCTTGATTTCATTTTCTTCTTTTGGATCATTAATTTGAAACTTTATTTTAGTAATTATTTAACTGAAATGACGAATATTTCGAAAAAAAAAAATTTGATTGTGCAAAAATTCAAATACGTTTCTTTGGGCGTGACTGTGGGTGTGGGTGTGGATGTGGGTATGGGTATGGGTGGGTGTGGGTGTGGATGTGGATGTGGGTATGGGTGTGGAGTGTGGGTGTGGGTATGTGTGCGAGTGGATATGTGTTGATATCATATTTATATTCACCCCCACCCTCACCCCCACCCCCACACCCACCCACACCCACACCCACACCCTTCTTGGCTTGTTTTCAGATAAATTATTTTAATCTCTTTCACAATATACCATAAATTCAGAACAGTCACAGTTTTTGAGTTCCACACATTGGCTCCTCACGCGGATCCACTGACAAGTTTTTTTTAAAGATTTTTTTGTCCATATGATTCATTGAGAAATTCTCCTCTCTAGAGATCGATCATTCAATTTAAAGGTGTGATCATATGAAGATTACAAATTGCTATTCACAAGATTTCGAATGAAAAGAATGATATCTAATAAAACTTGGTTATTTTCATTTACTTCTAGAAAAAGAGAATAGAACATGAAATATGTGAGTGCATTATTTTTTGATTTATTCTTCAAGGAATAATCATCAGAATGTCATTGAGACACTTGAAATACTTCATTGATGTTAAATGATATATTGTTTGATGAAAAGAGTGGCCCCATATTTTACTGGTTATTGGAAGTGGTCGAGCCTGAGGTGGCTCAGTCTGCACCAGAAATTTTTTAGCTTCCATCCTCACCCAAGAAACCTTCGGGCTATCTCTAGAAATGAGACGATCCCATCTAATAGACGAAACAAATACCAGTTTTTCAGCTTCAAACTGGGGCTGAACTTCCTCTACAAATATTTTCTGACTTTCTCACTAGTTATTTCTATCAACCACATCTACACCCTCATCTGATCAATGTTGCAACAGTGAAGAATGTATTGTATTGAGTAGGTCCACACTGGATATTGAGTGTGAGATACTTTCTATTCGTGTGGATTGTGTGAAATATCATGCTTACAGCTAACATCGACATCAAATGAACTTTTGCAGTGTTTGTGAGAACATCTGACATCTGCATATTCAATTGTGAGAAAAAAAATTCTTCGTCTAGACTCATATGACTGTGGATTCACTAATAATTTAGATATGAGTGTATAAGACGAGAACTCATTAGGATTTATTTCATGAAATACTTGATTGGCAACGATAACTTGAAAGTTAAATGTCAATATGAAGTTTGACTTTTGAATTTCAACTTCAAGATGTGAAGTAAGTAGAAAGATTTGAATCTTATCGTATCAACAGGAACATAGAAATTGAATTTAAATAGTTGAATATTCAAAGTAAAATTTTTCTTTTCAATTGAATCAAGTTTTACATACATGTTTCTTGAAGTCATTCATTTTATGTGCTAGGTGTGCTCGATTCTATCAAGTCCACTGGTATTTTCCATATGACAAATCAGGAATACCGGGTGTTCCAAAAGTTTTGCAACATTTTTTATTTTGCATATATCTCAATATAGGTAAATGATAAAACCTTGATTTTTTTTTAAAAGATGCGCCGTGAAAAGTTCTACAAAAATTGTATAAAGAAATTCCTATTGACTTGTTCTGTTCGTTCTTCCCATATTCAAAATGAAAAAGCTACATGATAGTGCTTTGTCCCACCGTAATAAAAATGTTTGGAAGACGTTTTTTGTTTTGCATATATCTCGGCTTGAGAAAATGATAAAATCCTGATTTTTCTTTTAAAAGATGCGCCGTAAAAATCTCTACAAAAATTATATGAACAAACCTTTATTGACTTGTTCTGATGGTTTTCCCCATACTCAAAATGAAAAAGCTAAATGTTAGTGCTACTTTTCACCGTATTAAGCGTAATAAAAATCTTTCGAAGACCTTTTTTGTTCTGCAATAGGGCTTTGTTGATACAGCTTTTGTAGAGCTTTTCGCGGCGCATCTTTTAAAAGAAAAATCAAGATTTTGTCATTTTCTCAAGCCGAGATATATGCAAAACAAAAAGTCTTCCAAATTGGTACAGTATGGTAGAACGTAGCACGATCGTGTAGCTTTTTCATTTTGAGTATGGAAAAAACTATCAAAACAAGTCAATAGAGATTGTTTAAATAGTTTTTGTATAGCTTTACACGGCACATCGTTTAAAAGAAAAATCAAGATTTTATCATTTTCTCAAGCCGAGATATATGCGAAATAAAAAAATGTTGCAAACATTTTGGGACACTCGGTAGCAACATCATGCAAATCTTCACTTTTAAAGATCTAGAAAAATTATCAGAACAAGTCAATAGAGATTTGTTCATACAATTTTGTAGAGATTTTCACGGCGCATCTTTTAAAAGAAAAATCAGGATTTTATCATTTTCCCAAGCCAAATAAAAAGTCTTCCAAATATTTTTTATTATGCTCAATGCAGTGGGACAAAGCACTATCATGTAGCTTTTTCATTTTGAGTATGGGAAGAACGATCAGAACAAGTCAATAGGAATTTCTTTATACAATTTTTGTAGAACTTTTCACGGCGCATCTTTTTAAAAAAAATCAAGGTTTTATCATTTACCTATGTCGAGATATATGCAAAATAAAAAATGTTGCAAAACTTTTGGAACACCCGGTATTCTTAGTTGAGCTACGACTCACTTTAATGATGGGTCAAATTGATCTTTTTCGTTTGGAATCTCTTTTATCTTCTCATAAATTACGTATATTATGTTTGCTTTCCATCTAGCCAGTGGATCATATCCACGTAAAGAGGAGAGGAATATATAGACTATTAAAACGTAATAGTGAATGTATGATGAAGATATTTGAGAGTCGATTTTATGTATTATACATCGACTACATGCAGTTTAAGATGATCAATCGTGAAGAGACAACATTGACAGCTATCACCATTGCCGCTGCACATTTATTACACCCACATTCAAGATCAATCAACAATAGATTGAGTTGTACCAGCATTTCTGAGCGAAAGAGCACGTTGCCTAGAAATTATAATCTTTAGATCTGCGTTTTAATCAAACTTTCTAAGAGAACTTCCATTGAATCGATAAATGAGAAAGCAATGAACGATGAGTTTCATTGAGAATACCTTGTGAGTTCGTCTGTTTCCGGTGTCGATCACTGGTAACGAGTTAAATAGACATTTGGTGCAAGTGACGAGTTACTCTCTGAGACTTAAGTTGTAGTACACTTCATTTGTAGACATATAACAGAATATATTCTGATTCCGATGTTTTTTTCAAAATCGTATAGAATTATTTTCGATCTCATGATTCTCGTAGATGAAAGACAATCTAGACCATAGTAGTTTTTTTTTTATTTTCATATTTATTATACAGTTACTCTTCTTTTTTCTATCTCATTTCATTTGAAGATTGATTCTTTTTTTCTTTTGAATAGAAACAAATAAGTTTTCTTTCTTGTTTCATATGTATACGAACGATATTCTTCTTGTTGCTTATTTCATTGCATTGCTAATCACTCTCTTCCATACATAACATCTGCATAAATCTAAATCATGGTGGCTATTCAAACACATCTCATCTCATACCTATCTCACTAACTATTTGAATATTCTATTTTCGTGATTTAACATAAAACAGATATGAAGTCAAAATTATTTCATGGGACTTTCAAGCAAGATGGGAACGCATCACATTTTGTTTCACTTCCCAACGCTCACTCATAGTTTATATGAATATATAAATCAAGAGATAAATAGTAAAAAAAAACTTACAAGAAATATTAGTAGCACTAAGAAGAAGTTAGAAACAGTGAATAGAAGAAAAAAAACGCGAGTTAGAAGTTTCAACATTAACAAGTCTGTAAGAAAATTTTTAAATTGTCATCACCTTTATTAGCGACTGCGAAATCTAGCTTTCCATCATTGTTAAAATCGTCAACAGAAACCAAAAATGGACGAGATCCGTAATCGGTCGAAAAAACTTTTACGCCAGCGAAGGAACCATTACCATATCCAAGCAGTATACCAACATTATTGGTGCCATAATTAGCAACGATGATGTCTAGTAAAGTATCGTTGTTAAAATCACCAACAGCCACCATGCGAGGTAAAGATGCGAAGCCCGTCGTAAACATCTTTTGGCTTGAGAAAGAACCATTACCGTATCCAAGAAATACTCCAACAGTGTCATTGCCAGAATTAGCAACGACGATATCCAATATGGTATCGTTGTTGAAATCACCAACAGCAATAGACACTGGAGTAGAGCCAGTTGGAAATACCGTTTGACTTGCGAAAGAGCCATTGCCATATCCCAAAAAAATGCCCATGGTATTAGTACCCGAATTCACGACTACTATATCCAATTGATTGTCATTGTTAAAATAGCCACTAGCGAATGACATTGGTCGAGATCGATTGCCAGTTATGAGCGTCGTTTGTTTTACAAAAGCTTGCTTGATATATCCTAGCAGTACACTTACACTTCTACCGTAAAAATTAGGGGAGACAATATCCAGTCGACCGTCGTTATTCAAATCACCAAGAGCTACACTGTTTGGAGTAGTGCCAATTGGATATGTCATTTGATTTGCAAAAACGCCATTGCCATATCCTAGAAGCACACTTACATTGTTGTCACGATAATTAATGGTGACAATATCCGGTCGAGTATCATTATTTAAATCCCCAACTGCTACTTTGAGTGGCATATTACCGGTTGAATATATCGTCTGACTTGCAAACGAGCCATTACCATATCCGAGAAGTACACTTACAGTGTTGTCATCACGATTCGTGACGACGATATCCAGTCGGCTGTCGCTGTTAACATCACCGACAACTACACATGTTGGTGTAGTGCCAGTGGCGTATTTCACTTGTCTTGCAAACGAACCATTACCATATCCGACAAGTAAACTTATGAAATCACTATCAAAATTAGCGACGACGATATCCAGTCGACTGTCGTTATTAAAATCACCAACAGCTACAGACCATGATCGAGAGCCAGTTGAATAATTCTCTTGACTTGCAAAGGAGCCATTGCCATATCCTAGAAGCACACTTATAGAATTGCTGCTATCAAGATTAGCGACAACGATATCCAATCGACTGTCGTTATTGAAATCACCAATCGCTACACAATATGGTTCAAAGCCAGCTGAAAATGTCTTTTGAGTTGCAAAAGAGCCATTGCCATATCCTAGAAGCACACTTATAGAATTGTTACCAACATTAGCGACGACGATATCTAGTAGGCTGTCGTTATTAAAATCACCAACAGCTACATAGTATGGTTCATTTCCAACTAAATATGTCATTGGATTTGCAAAAGAGCCATTACTATATCCAAGATATACAATTACATTATCGTAATACCTAGTGCTGACAACGAAATCCAGTTGGGCGTCATTATTAAAATCACCAAAAGCCATCCAGACTGGCCAAGAATCAGTTGAATATGTCGTTCGATGAGAAAAGTCTCCGGTGTCATATATAACAAAGACATCCAAATTATCAGCATCATCATATGCAACAACAATTTCCGATTGTCCATCACTATTGAAATCACCAACACCAACAGCCAATGGAGCAAAATTGAAACTAGCGCTATAATTTGTTTGACTTTCAAACGTTCCGTTTCCCTTTCCCAGAAATGTACTAAGACTTTTAGTACCACGATTAACCACTGCAATATCCACTTGACCGTCTTTATTGAAGTCATTAATTGCAATTGAGTAAGGATGAGATTCTAATCCCGTTGAGAGTATCATTTCATTTTCAAATGTGCCATTTCCATATCCAAGACTGACACCTAGGTTATTACTACCATAATTAGCAACGATGATATCCAATAGACTATCGCCATTGAAATCAGAAACAGCAACGCATGCCAAATGAGCACCAGCACTGGACGTAAATGTAACTTCGTTTTTCATAGCTCCTCTGTCATAACGGAGCAGAATACTAACAGTGTTGCCATTAAAATTAGTGACGACGATATCTGGCCGAGTATCGTTGTTAAAATCACTAACAGCTAAAGCTAATGGATAAGTACCGGTTGAATATGACTTCTGACTTGCAAACGAACCATTACCATATCCGAGGAGTACACCTATGGTATTATTTCCAGAATTACTTACAACAATATCTTGTCGAGTGTCGTTGTTGAAATCGCCAACAGCTAAACCAGCTGGCCTGTCGCCAGTTAAATATGTTGTTTGCATTGCAAAAGAACCATCACTATATCCGAGAAGTACACTTATCGTGTTATCCAAATAATTAGTGACGACGATATCTAAATAGGTGTCATTGTTAAAATCAGCCACAACTACAAATATTGGATTAGTGCCAGTTGAATATTCTACTCGATTTGCAAAAGAGCCGTTGCCATATCCCAGAAGTACACTTACAGTGTTGTTATCAGAATTAGTGACGACAATGTCCAATAGGGTGTCATTGTTAAAATCACCAGCAGCTACTTGGTATGGAGTAAAACCAGCTGAATATGCCATTCGATTTGCAAAAGAGCCATTACCATAACCGAGCAGTACGCTTACAGTGCTGTCATAATAATTAGCGACGATGATATCCAGTCGGGTGTCGTTGTTAAAGTCACTAATAGCTAAGCCATACGGATAGGTACCAGTAGAATATGTCGTTTGATTTGCAAAAGAACCATTACCATATCCGAGAAATACACTTACATTGTGACTCCGAAAATTAGTGACAATAATATCCAATCGGGTGTCGTTATTAAGATCACTAACAGCTACAAAATGTGGTTCAGTGTCAGTGGAATATTTCACTTGTCTTGCAAAAGAACCATTGCTATATCCGAGAAGTATACTTATAGTGTTTTCATCATAACTGGTAACGGCGATGTCCAATACAGTGTCGTTATTAAAATCACCGACAGCTACGCAGGTCGGATAAGAGTCAGTTGAATATGGCGTTTGACTTGGAAAGACCTCGTCATAGCCAAGCAAGATATCTATGCTGCTCGTGTCATTATTGATGACGAAAATATCTAAGCGATCGTCTCTGTTGAAATCACCTATAGCAACGGAGATCGAAGAAGAAGATCCAGTGGAATACATTTTTGGGCTTACAAAGGTGCCGTTGCCATATCCGAGAAGCACAGCAATATTGTCAGTGCCATTGTTGGTGACGATTAAATCCATTCGGTTGTCCTTGTTGAAGTCCCCAATACCAATAGAATATGGAGAAGCAGTGCCGAGAAAATAGGTCGTTTGACTTTTGAACGTTCCATTGCCGTGACACAGAAGCACACCTACATTATTATTTCCATAGTTCGCGACCGCAACATCTAGCGTGTTATCGTCGTTTAAATGACCAACAGCAATCGAGTATGGATGGGAATTCGGACCAGTTGAGAACGTGATTTGATTTGCGAAAGTACTGTTGCTAGTTCCAAGCAGTATACCAATATTGTTTGTGCCATAATTAGCGACAGCAAGATCCAGCTGTTGGTCATTGTTAAAATCACCACTGACAACCGCAAACGGGAAAGAGTCATAGCCCGTAGAGTATGTGCTTGGTTTTGAGAAGCTTCCATCTCCATATCCATAAAATATACTTACGCTGTGTGTGCCATGGTTAGCGGTGATAATATCTAATGTTGTGTCATTGTTGAGATCAGTGACGTGGATCCAAATAGGACGAGAGGAAGCAGTTGAAAATGTTTTTTGGCTTGCAAAAGATCCGTTTTCGGATCCAAGAAGTATACCGACGTTGTTTGTACCAAAGTTTGCGACTGCAATATCCAGCCGATCATCGTTGTTAAGATCATTAATGGCGACCATGTACGGAGCAGAACCGTAACCAGTCGGATATGTGACTGGACTTGTCGCAGTCCTATTGCCATATCCAAAATATATAGCTATGTGATCGGCACCATAATTGGCAATAGCAATATCTAGCCAAGTATCGTTGTTGAAGTAACCGACGGCGACAGATCGTGGACCAGACTTATAGTCAATTGGATTTGGGGTCGTCGGTTTGAAGTTAAGTTGACATTTTGCGACTAAGTAACAGAAGAACAAAGAAATAAAGATAGATTAGTTCCTCTAATTCAATAGTCATTAGTGGATTGTATCAGATTCATATGATTCTGGTCATATTCTTATCGATATTGTGGGATGATTATAGCCAAATCTGGATGGGTACCAATGCTTTTTATTTGAATCTCGTCGAGTTTTGCGAAATTCATCACTCAGATTATTCATCATGCGCTTTCTGTCATTTACTAGAGAACTCCTTGGAGATCCGCACAATGACTGAGAAACAACAGACATTGCAACTAATATGATTGGCATAAGGACTACGGGCTGGCTCTTACTACATGATCAGAATTGCTATCATCTCTATCCTAAAGATTCTTTGATGGCACGTTATCAGCCTCAAATATACTATAATGACAAAAATTTCGAATCATTTCGAAATCAAAACAATGTCAGTAGCACTGCATTGCAACAATCCTCTAATTACATCATGAATATTTTTCATAGTTATCCTACAAGAGACACGCACGTGTTCGCTAGAAACATTATGATATTTTAATAACTATGAAACATGTATGAGAGTAAAATATCAGGTCAAAATACCATCATTTGACTTATTAGTATACTGTGACCTATAGGGAAATATCAGTATAACAGGTATAATTCAGAAAGAAAGCACTAATGAGCCACTAATGAGTGAACTTCATCAACTAACTCATTCCATTTGAGTTCATATTTTGCTCATTGATTGAAGTCATAAATTAGAGAAAACTTGACAAATAACAAGTTTCTCTAGAAAGGTAATTATTATGTTTTTATAGAAATTTTCTTTTCTCATCTCAATGAAGAAACATTTTCAAGAACTGATTCTTTTGACGAACTCATTCTACTCCTTGTTACTTGTTGTATAACAACAGAAGAACGTTAGCTATATTTTAATTTAGTAAGAACATAAAGATGATACAGAAAATGAAAGTGAAATAAAAGATTAAGGAAATTATGAATTTGTCTAATGGTCATGATAGTAAAAAAAATAGAGTGAAGCACAGATTTGTTGAACAAAGAACAATGCATCATTAGTCCGTCGATAGAGCTCTTTGTCATAACATTTATCTGTTTGAAATATGAAATCAATACCCATGATATTTTTAAATGGACCTGGATTAGATTTCAAAAATCTCTTTTGAACCAGGCGTAGTTTGTCACTGGTTAAAAATCTGAGATATAGGTGTGGATTGCCTGATTCCCACTGTGCATGCTTCAGTAGAGGCAAGAGGAACATTGGCATCCACACCTGCATCCCACAACTGATTGAAGGTGATGAATCACTGGATAAGAGGATGTATACGCATTCAGGCATGATAGTGGAACTAAAGAAGATATAATTAGATCAATATGTCTATATATATACAGTTGAGGAAAATTGACATTATATCCTTTGATTTTTTTTGTTTTTTATTACTATACGTTTTTATCTATTAACCTACTATATATAGGGAGAAAGCGCAGAACGCACTGCATTTTTTAGTATATTTACGTTGAACATCAAATGCAATTAAAAATATAAAAAGTGTATTAGAAGAAAAAGAGCATTTATTTTTATTGCCAAAACCGGGTGTCCATAATGTTGTAACATTTTTTTATCTCGCATATATATCTTGACTTAGGTAAATGATAAAACCTTGAATTTTTCTCGAAAGATGCACCGTAAAAAGCTCTATAAAAGCTATATGGTTGAATTCCATTTTATCTGTTCTGATGGATTTTCTTATATTCAAAATCAACAACTTACGGGTGGTAGTGCCACTTTCCATCATATAAAAAATATTTCGAGAGCTTTTTCGATTCGCTATAGGATTTGGTCTATACAAATTTTGTAGAGCTTTCGACAGCACATCTTTTAAAAACAAATTTAATATTCCATCATGTTCTCAAGACTAGATATATGCAGAACAAAAAAGCCTTCCAACATTTTCAGTATGATGGGGAGTGACATCGCCATGTAGGTTGTTCATTTTGAGTATAAGAAAATCATCAGAACAGGTAAAAAGCAATTCGATCATATAGCTTTTGTAGAGCTTTTCACGGTACATCTTTCGAAAAGAAAATTCAAGGTTTTAGCATTTACCTAAGCCAAGATATATGCGAAATAAAAAAATGTTACAACATTATGGACGGCATGGAATTAAAAAAAGGTTCTCTTTCTTCTAATACACTATTTATACTCTTAACTGCATTTGATGTTCAATGTAAATATACTAAAAGATACGGCGGCTTCTGGGCTTTCTTCTTATATATAGTAGGCTAATAGATAAAAACGTATAGTAATAAAAAACAAAAAAATCAAAGGGTATAATTGAAATTTTCCTCGACTGTATATGTGATGGCCACATCTTACAGCCTCCTTCCTATAGATCTCTATTTATTATTATCTGCTTGCTTCCATCTTCGAACAGAGCAAAAATATGTTTACCTTCGCTACGCCCTATGAAGAATCACTTATATTTTCTCTTATTGTTTCACATGTCTATGATGCCAAAAGAACACATAGATGAGATAGAGAAAAAGAAATTCTAAATAAACTGCTGTTATCATTCAAAGATGTGAAAAAAATACTATCAAAAATAATAGAAGGGACGATTCAATGAATTTCTCTCCTTCATCTGTAGGACACTGAATATGGTAAAGTTGATTTTTCTGCAACAAGCGGCCATACGTAAGTTGAGTTGGTAATAAATCAACTTGTGAGAATGTTCATTTATTGTGATAGGAAAAACAACTTTTTTAGAAAACACAATCATCTCTTTTTTTGAAAAAATTTTTATGCCTGTCCCTCTGAAACAAAGCAACAATGGGGTTAATCGTTTAGGAATTTTTCTCTACTCTATGAACCTTACCCCCATGAGTAGAATATGAGCTCGAATTGGAAATAACAATTGATGAAGTTTCCTTATAAACAACAGTACCTTTTTCGTCATTTTCTAGTTTCACTAGGTTCGACTTATGGACAAAGTATCAGATCTACTGGTGATGATCATCTTAGTTGGTTCGCGTTCGTCAGTACTAATTTGAAATGAAAAAGTGAAGCAGTTGCAGTATTTATAATTCCGTCCTCGCTGGATGGTTTACTCCAAGCACCTCGATATAAAATATTATCACAATTTGATTTTTTTTTAACCAAAACTCACAATACTGGCGAAATAGAACCGAATTAACTGTGATTTTTTTTATCGTATTGAACACGAAGAATGTAAAACAACAAGGACATACCTGGTGATTTTGGTGCGGTAAAACAAACTACCAGTACACCGATGATTGTAAATATACTTGTAATCATAGGCAGTACAAAGATAGGTTTGGTTATGAAACCTAACATTGACAAGTAACAATATTTCCTAGAAAAGAGCAACAACGATGATATTTGACATCAAAAGAAAAAGTTATACATATTCTGTCGAATCGTATAACTTTTTATTCGAGCGATGGTGTTG